AGATTCTAGTGTCGCTCTATCAAGCCTAATATTCTTGTAGAGGATGTTGTGATTCAGTAACCATTCCAAAGCCGCTGCGACTTTACTTTTTCTCACACGTAATACTTTTTTCAATTGATCCATTGATGGTTGTTCTTGCCCAATAAATACAACTTTTAGATAGTCACATAGTCGATACGCAGGTAAGGGTAAGATAGTAGAAAGTGATGTTGGTTCTTGTGCGAACGTAATTACATGACCTTTCAGTTTGTGATGTGTATGTCTTCGGTTAGTAAGTTGAATGATATTTACACAAATATAACCTGCGGAAATCAAGAGTTGTTCCGGTATCGTTAACCCTTGAAGACACAGTGGAGTTGTTCCAATCCATATATTTGTTAGGGAATATATCGGAACACTGCCTGCATTCATTGATCGTTTACAACCGGTGCATACGCGAAGATCGAATGGATTTTTACTATCATCTGCGTTTCCTTTAATAAGCCCATTTCTATCCAACAAAACTTTATAACCACTTCCGTCTATATAAGGATGTTCATACGCAAAGTCAATTTCAAAAACTGGGTTTTTTAAGTATATATTAGCTTCAAGCGATGGTAAGTGTATTTCTTGCGTAGTAATAGTAGCTAAGTGCTCATGTGAAAATAGACCTGAACAAATCGCACAAAGTAATTCCTTAAGCGCTTTACAGTCGATATTTTCTCTAAATCTTGCCAGTGCACCATTAGCAATGGCCTTATTAATCGGTTGAGGCCAATTTGTATACCGTTCTTTTGATGTATCGAATTCATCGTCCATTTCTAGAATACGCAGCGGAATTCGTGTCTCCAATGCTCGAACGTCTTTTTCCATGCAAATTTTTCGCTTTTTTGCACGATTAATTTCACGCCGTTTACGTTGTTGTTCCCTTTCACGCTGACGATAATCTGCATGTGCTCGTCTGTTAGCTTTCTGTCATTTACGCTTTGACTTATAACTGTCAGAATTCAAAGAATTATCCCTAAAAACTAAAAATTAGTACATTTTCATTCGATACCTCAAAATTTCAACAATTATATTTACATTGTTAAACGTCAATCAACGTCGAATTTCCAGGTTATAGCACTAATCAAAGAAAAGAATGTATTCTAATAAATTATATAATTCGTATATTGTTTAACAACATTACAAATTCACCCCTTATTTACATTGCCGTCACGGGCTTCAGCAACCTCAGCAACAGATTCTTTATTGTATTTTATTTAGAACGAAAGTGGTAAGAATTTTTGCATACGTTTTGTATATCCTTTATTTGACTTTAAACCAATTACATCATGATTTCACTTATACGATATCTAACTCTCTATAACCGACAGATCTTTTACATCATTAATTGAATCAACTAAATTCACATGACCACGGGATATCCGAATACTAAACTTAAAAGCGATTGTCATTTTATTATTTCACTTATACGACATTTAACTCTCTATAACTGACAGATCTATTACATCACAAAAAAAAAAGAAAAAAAATGTAGTCATAATACTGTAATTGGCATAAAATTCACGTCTAACTATACGCACATATCATGTTCGCACGCACTCACATAAAAAAGAAAAATAATCTCACGAATATCCGAAAAAAAAAAAAATGTAGTCATAATAATTGTAGATGATATATAATTTACGTCTATCCATATGCACACATCATGTTCGCACATATCATGTTCACATGCTCATGTACATTCATTAACAAAAAAAATAAAATAGTCTAATCAAAAAAAAATAAATAAATAAAGAATGCAGTTATAATAACCGCACACGATGACACACGTACGTACATACAGTACGTACTCTACACGCACATACGTATTATGTTCACACGCACTCACGTGTTCACCGGTCCTTTATCGTAAAATACCACACTACGTATTAACAAAAAAACCATAGCCTTTTCTTAAAATAGATAATCGAAATTCATAACCCTTACTAAAAAAAGGAATCCACAAAATTCCGCATAAGCGACATCAAAAAAGTTGAAGGAAACCATCCCTATACACATTTCATGTTACACAAGAAACGTGATCGTACTGGTA